GTAATAACAGCAATCTAGTTGTGATCAGCCCAGTTGACAGTGATTTTGTTGCTGCAGCAGGAAGACATTTGTGTCGACAGTGCGACTGACATTCTCTTAAACTGTTCAAGATCTGGGTCAGTCCTGTTTTGTTCCTCCATGTGTCTGTGCTTTGGCCCGAGGTATGAGGTAGCCGTGCTGGTGCCTGACAGAGGGGCTGATATATGGAGCTATATTACCATCGCTCATAACCCCAACACACTAATTATAACCACAGGCTTGCAACGAGCGCTGCTGCTTTGAACCCAGCACTTTATGACAACACTGTGGGTTTTTGCTTGTGTGTGTCTGTGTGTGTCGAGGTGGAGGGGCAGTAAAGATTGACACCCCTGCCCCACCTCCTCCTGACTGGCTGACTTGACCTCAGACCCTCAACCTCATAGCTGGAGACATTAAAATTACCAGAAAGTAAGCAGTAAACCATTCAATGATTCACATATCTACAAAGATATGATCATATAAGCCTCATTCAGCACATTAGGGCCTGCCAGCATCCACATGCGCCCACCGACACACAGCAGATGTGGACACAGAAGACCGGGCATCTCTAATGATTTCAGAATCATCGCTCAGAGTGATATTTACATTACTGAGTGACAAATGTCAGCCTCCTCAGGAAATGCATTCCACGCAGACGCACACAGCTGGGATGCTGTTTTGCAGGTCGCCGTGGAGACGGCGGGGAATGAGAGAGAAATGGCGGGGAAGAAGGAGGGGAAACTGAAAGGGAGCGTGAGCTTCTCTTTCATCAGGTCACACACACTGACATCCATTCAACATGTGCGCCTCTTACAATCCCTGACATTACTCGAGATACGAAGCTCTTGATCTTTCACCTCAGCTTTTGTCTGTCACACCGTCTTCCTGTCACATCAACAGACAGCCCGTCTTTGCTTGGTGTTGCTAAGTAAATATGGGACAACTAGTGGCTGGTGTCTACTATAGGTACTGAAGAAATGAAACTTCATCACCTTGACACTGTGTTAGGATTCAACACATTTGGCCTTCTGCGTTATTTACTATGGCCACTGGAATATACCATTAGCAGTTACAGTGTTATTAGCTGTAGCCTCAAGAATTAGAAAAAGTAATGCTGTGATAAATACTTTATGTTACCCCAAGAACAGAATGCTTGTAAAGGATCTTGCAACTCATAGAGATCAGATATCATATCAAATGTGGGAAAACATATCAGAGAAGATGGGGGCAAATTTATTTCATATAAAATACTGAAGGAATACTATTTGACACTGGTTACACTTCATTAAATGGGAATTACCAATAACAATGTGTGCTGGAAGTCTAAGTAGGAGGTGGGTACATATTTGCACACGATCTGAGAGTGCCATGGTTCACCTGTTCTGATAAAAACAGGTCTCAAAGATATTAAATAACTATTGGTTTGTCTCCTTTGCGACAAGTCAGTATTACCTGGTATAGTAAATAACAAATCTAGTATACATTTAATTCAATTTAAAAAGTTGGGCTGATCAAAGCCACAACAAATCCCAGATGATCCCTCACTGTGAAACAATAGACTGATTAAATTATTAAGATCTCGTCATATGAGCATGTGCTGGGAAGAACTAATGTGAGGGGGGGGAAACAAAAAGAGTCACAAGAGCAGTTTGGGTTAAATGTCAATCGACTCAGTTAACAGCTGACCCCCTTTTTTCATGGCCATGATTTTAGTTTTATGTTAAATAACGACTGCTTTCTGTTATGTCTGTTCACAGTTCGCAAGGTCTTCACCAGAGTATGTGACGTGCTACGAGATGACACATGTTGTGAGTTGCCGCTATGTAAATACGTTGAATTGAATTTTCTGTAAAGGTTCTGTTCAGCATCTTCTTTCTAATACGCTGCGTTGCTCCACAAAAACAAAAAAAGGTCTGAACCTGTCTGATTCTGTTGTCTTGTGTTTGTTATCATGGAAATTTACACAACTCTTTGTTTGACGATGCATCAGCCTAAAAATATAACTTTATTAGCTGTAAAGAAAAGTGGATGACTGTAACTGTGGATAAACGTAATTTGGATGAATGGATTTTATTACAGTGCTGCTTTGATGGAGTTAGTCCTAACCCCGTTAATCCCTCTCTGCAGTAGCTGTTTCAGGCTTCATTTTACATTCCTCTATTTCATGCTTAATAGCTTCTCATGTAAACATCAAAGACCCGTGGTTAATAACTTAAATTAAATAAGACACTTTTAAGATTCCATTAAATGTTTAAGCATGAGCTATTATATTTATCTATCTTTTTTATCTGCACTTAACGGTTCAACACTCAATAAGCAGTTTCTTACAAAAACAATAAATTAAAATTTAAAACATTTAAATGATTCAATTAAACATTTTATTGGGACGCATTCTGTGTGAAAATTGTTTTTCTTTTTGCTGAGTTTCGGTGGTAAAATATTTTCTTTAAAGAGTTTATTTTAAAGGCTTTTAAATGGTCTTCATTGTGCACATGATGCATATATAATAGAAAGGGGGTGTAGGACACTTGTATCAGTAAGAAAACAGCTGCACAGCTTTTGTTGCCTTTAAGTTGCTGATCATTTGCTTTATAAGGACCTGCAGAGAGAGGTTGGACTCAATGTGTTGGAGATGTTAACTTTAGGGAAAAACTTGCATCCTTAGTCATTTCATGAAGCTATTTTAAATGACTAAAGTGTACAAAACATGCGTGACCCAGCCTTGACATCTGACGATTTGGAGGAACATTGTCTGTAGCCCGCTACTCTTTTCATGACCTTTGAATGCTCGCTCCAGGACACAAAGGTCAGTGTCCCATCACAGTTTTTTAGATTATTAGTCTGACTGCTGCTGTGTCAGGGAACCAAATGACCCTGAATGAATATACTATTATTTGTCTCGCATTATTGATCAACTTCATCATAAGAACTTTTTTTAAAAAGCAAATCAGTTTTTGAACTGGGTTCAGTTAGTGCAAAAACACTGCCTACAGTGAAGGCATCTGGATTAGTGTCTGTCAGCTCAGTGATGCCATCTACTGCCTCTATAGTGCACAAGCAAGCATCTTCATGACCAGCAGTATAACTCTATTTATATTTACTAAAGCAAGTTAATGAGCTAATAAATGAATAAACTCCTTTTCAGAGTTATTCTCAAAGTGCATTTAAATCACTGACATGCCAACATGTTATTACTGTGACGAGATTTTACTAAAGAGCTAAAAAAAAAAAAAAAAATCCACATTGTCCATACTTTAAAGAAAATAACCAAGTTTTGTGCTGGTCTAGGTGACCCTTGACCTCCACGTTGACTTGGTATTGTTCCCTCAAGAGAAAAATATGCTACCTTTATTATTTGATTACTTAAAGGTAAGCACGTTGCATGTATAATATTAGTTGTATATTTCCTCTACACACACACATGAATATTATCAGCAAAATGTACCTAAAGGTGAGCACTTAAAATGATGAAAAAGAAAGAAATATAACACAAAAATGTAAAAATTAAAATGAAAAGAACTGATATAATCAGAGATTTAAAGACAAAGTGTACAATAAATAGCAGACACAGTGTTAGAAAACACACACACCAATTTAAAGCAGAATTTATGTAAAAGTGGCACATAAAAAAATAACAGCTGTGGAAAAGTATACTCTGTAGCTTATCTTTCAAACCCAGTTGCTACAGCTGAAGCATGCTGCATCTAAGTCCCAAGGGCAGCTGATTCCAGCAGTGGGCAGCAAGATGGCTGAAGGCCATTTCACCATGTTTGGTCTGAATTCTGGTAGATCTGAGAGGCCTGACAGGCTTGTACTCACTGAACATATTTCTGACATATTTTGGTCCGGACCATTACTTACAGACAGTAAGTAGGGCCATAAAATCTCAATGCTATGTTCAACTAGAAACCAGCGCAGGGATCTAAGAGTTTGAGTGTTTTCTCTTCTTGTGATGGTCAGTATTCTCGAAGCAGCATTTTTAAATGATCAAATCTACTCAATGTGCATTACACCCACCCTGTCAGTAATATTTGTCATTAATTTGTCATTAAAGATGCATTAAAATAGCTTATAAGTAGCATTTTAATGATGTAACTCGTATTTTATAACCTATAATTTGTGTAGAAAATGTTGCACTCTCACAGTTCACCTGCAGGGATGTTTCCATTCCTGATAACTATAATTATGTGTCTTTTCAGGTTAGGGCAGAACAGTGTGCTAAGTGGACTTGAGTAAATAGCACAGTTTGTACACAGAACAGTAAATGTTTGCTCTTTTGTGGCTTACCTGTTAGGGAAATACAAGACACATTTATTTTTTATTTTTTAACCTGTTAGTTTACAGAGTTTCCGCTAAGTTACACTTGACACCTCTTCAGAGTATAATCTATCCCTGAGTGTTTATATAACAGCAGCTGTAGAAAAATTATTCTGATCAGTTCAAGATACTTTATTGGCAAGAATCAACCATGAAATTATTGCCAAAAAAGAAGACGAAATGCAATCCATTAAGCGTAATTTGAAATTGATGAATAGAATATATTAATATAAACGATTTTTTTCTTCTTTTTTGCACATTTAAAATATTCATTAAATAAAAGTAATAAGAAAACTAGTGATACAGTGCAGGAAGAGGCAAAAAAATCTCAAACAGGCTTATAACAAGCCTCCACCTTTAACAAAACTTATAACAAAACTTGTTAACAAATATTAATTATTATTTTTAGGACAACTATACAATACTTTCGTCTGGGATGCTGTAAAACTATAAAGTAACATAACATGAAAATACTTCAATACATTACGAGTACTCGAAAATTGTGCGTACGCTACTTTGAATACTTACATTCCACCTCTGCTGTTTATTACTTCTGGTTAGTCTTTTTTTAAATTTTTAAATTTTTTATTTTTGTGACAGTTTTAATTTCACCCCGCACATGCGCAGACCGCCGCTGACCCGCTGACACCGGCAGTGACGCAGAAATGGCGTCCTCCGCTGTCCGGCTCACAGCACGCTGGTTAGCGGCGTCGGGCTCTTCTGGGCGCCGTAGCGGCTGTTTTCTCGTCGTCTCTCACGGACATGGAGGAGCTTGTCAGGCGGCGGTCCCGCAGACACACCGGGGAGGCACGGCGGCCGGCCTGAGCTCCTGGACTCGCGGAAATGTCGTGACATTGAGAGGACTGGCAGGTGAGACGAGTTAGCTACCTGTTAGCAAAACACTGCCAGACTTTCTAACACCGGCATGGTCTCTGTCGTTAAAGACGCCGGCAGTCTGTTTAAAAGTTCGGTTCTCCAGCTGTAAGGTGCAAATGTCGACGTGTTGGAGAGCAAGTTGTGTAAAAGCTAGCCTCCTCCTGCAGGGCTGTTAGCCGGCTGTGTGATGTAACTGCTCCCTGTGTGACAGTGAACACAGTCTGCACCATCACTGACCTTGTTACGGTCACAGCGCCGGTGTACGAGCATCGTTTGGGCATGTTTGGAATGATTTAAATGTGCTATAGCAGGAAAAGATGCACCCAGCAAACAGTTTATCATGAACAGCATAGTCATACAGGGTGCATTGCTTTTAGAACATTCTGTTCTTGGTGGTGTGGATTCTGCAAGATCTTGAGCACTTGTCTTTGACATTCTGCTTCACGTTGGCATCACAGAATATCTGCAGATTTATGCTGGACAGACTGTAAATCGCCTATTTTAACACATCCTAGAGCTGTTCTGTTGGTTTCAGATCTGCTCACTGGAGGAACCCACTGACGTTTACTATGTGATAAGTTTTATCTCAACTAAACTCAAACTTTATTTATAGATCACATTTTAAACAACCGGGGTTGACTAAAGTGCTGCACACATTTAAAGCAAGATAATCAATTCAATACAGGAATTACAATAAATAAATAAATAAATAATACTAAAATACGTAAGCACAGTGCTATACAATAGAATAAAATTAATTAAAATTAAATTAACATTTTGCCAAAAGTCCACTTAAACTTGATTAAAAGCCAGGGAGAAGAGGTGTGTCTTTAGGGAAGATTTAAAAAACCTGCAGAGCGGATGTGCCCAGGCAGGTTGTTCCAGAGCCTCAGGGCTGCTGCCACAAAGGCTCTGTCACTTTCGGTTTTGAGCCTAAATTTTGGGGTGACCAGTCGCAGTTGATTGGCAGATCTCAGCGCTCTGGCAGGGGCATGGACACGGCGGAGCTCAGTCAAGTACTGGGGGGCTCAGCCAAAATCTGTTGTAAAATATCATGGCAAAAGTAGCCCCTAGAAGTTACAGACTTCTAAGAGCGACTTTAGCAACACACTCTTGCAGTGTTTTTGTAAAGGAAAGTGTACAAAGTGTTTTTGGTGTTTTGATTCTACCAACTTGAATAGTCCTCGGCATCGATTCTCCAATGCTGCTATGAGACATGCGCTCCTTTCTTTTAGTCTTGAGCATGTTAATTTCATGTCTGAATGAGCACCCTGGTCACTTCACCAGAAAAGCTGTGGCTAGACCCAGTAACATTTCTGTATTGCTCTCAACACAGCACATGTCTGAACTGCATGCCATCACATAAACAGACACACTCAAGCTGTGGTACTTCCAGTTGTGTGAACCTATTAGGAGAAAACTTGTTCCACACTTAAGCACCAATGTTAGTCCAAAAACATCACCGAACGCAGAAGACACACTGTCTGTGTCAACACCACAACACTTTTTGCTCAACGATCTATTACAAACAGAGATTTTCATGAAAACAAAGCTTTGCTGTAATGAATATAAGAACAGATCAGATTAATGAGACGTGTAGGTTGATGCTTCCAGAATCTTTCCTCTGAGTTTAGTAAATATGCGCAGCATTAAACTGTGCTGTTCCTACACTGTGTTTTAAAATACATGTCCTTTTTCCACTCCTCTTTTTAATGTGTGCTTTGTAGTTTGTTTGTTTTTTATTTACAGCAGGATCTAATGTGGTAATTTATTTCTGATGTACTTATGCAACCCTGACTTTAGCCTCTTGTTACCATGAGGACTTTTACTTATACTCAATAGTATTAATTTTAATTTTAAGACTTTTTTCACTGTAGTACTTCTGTGATAAATGGAGTTGAAATGGCAGCAACAAATGATCGTCATCCTTGAGTTGATTCTCATTATCAATGATATGAATTAGGATTATCTTCCTCATTAATCACATGGTGTAATTTAAAACATCAGAAAACTTTGTTGATCTAATTAATTGGCCCTGAGAAATGTATTCAAGTCGCTCATTTTTTTTGACCAGTAGTCCAGAACCCAAAAGTTTGCAGTTTGCCAAAGAATGTAGCTACAAATCACAGAATATGTGGCTTTGACTTGAGTGATTTTAATTTGCTGTAAATACAGTTCACTGATGCCAGATACAGTCTGGTATATCTATGCAGTGCAAAGTTATCCATTATGAGCACTAACATTGGTTTGTATCTGCTGGGTTGCTTACAGGAGTGCAGTTACAAACTTGGACGTAATTTCATACAACTTGCTGACACATTACAGGATATGCACATTAGCTAATCATCTAAGACCTCATAATTTACTGCAGCTTCACCAATATTAATATCAACTACTTTTTCCTCTTGCTTCATACTTCTTTTTCTTTCGTTTTCTCTCTGCAGGGGTGAGATGTCCCCGTGGCATCACCTGCCATGCTTTCCACTCCAGCAGCAGACTGGCGAACAAGCAGGACTTCTATGAAGTCTTGGGTGTCTCTCGCACTGCCTCACAGAAGGATATCAAGAAGGCTTACTATCAGGTATTTGACCCACTTTTTCGTATCACTGCACTGTTGTTGTACAAAGCGCTAACATTTCCTATTAGTCTCATATTATCAAGTGTGAAACATGATAGAAGTTGGTAAAATGTTTGGTCGTAAAATATGAAACGTGAAAGTATGATACCCTAAATCCCTGAATAAAAAGAAGCTTGAGTTTGTTTTGGATGCCTGTTAAACGACATTTAAATCTGCATTCTCATTTTTTGTTCTCATCTTTCCTCGCTTTGTCTGTCTCCAGCTGGCAAAGAAGTATCACCCAGACACCAACCCGGATGACCCAGAGGCCAAAGAGAAGTTTGCCAAGCTGGCTGAAGCCTATGAGGTACAAAACAAATAGAATAAAAGTGTCCAGGATAATTCAGTACTCTCTCCAGTTATATACAATAAAGAAATGCAGGGAAGTTATCTTCAGAGAAACTCAGCACTTCACTGCTCTGTTGTTGTTGTGTGCAGGTGCTGAGTGACGAGGTGAAGAAGAGACAGTATGACGCGTATGGAGCAGCAGGCTATGACGCGAGCCGAGCTGGGGCTGGCCAGCAGCAGTACTACAGGGCTGGGGCGAGCAACATAGACCCAGAAGAGCTGTTCAGGAAGATTTTTGGAGAGTTTACAGGAGGCATGGGCTTTCAAGACATCCACAGCATGTTTGACAACCGGCCCGAGGTAAGAAGTCCCTCGGAACATTATAGCATCAACATGTTTCGACATTTTCTGTTTAACCATTATTTCAAATGGAGATGTGTAACCCTTAGAGGGCCGCCGGCGTGATATAATCATGACATTTTTTGTCACGACTGAAAAACTAGCGCACGTATGGTGATGCCGTCAACTTCACTCGAAAGTTCAGACTTTAAACTCTCCGAGTTTTTGTTTCGTGTCGATAGACCACATAAAACCAGAGATATGATGTTTTGAACGTGTGTAAAATATCAGCGTATGAAATATAGGCTGCAGGCGTCGCGTTTCTTTCAACATCTTTGTCATTTTTTGTTGTTTTACTGGAAGTGCAGGTCCTGTAATGTGGCTGTCTGCCTCATTCTGGAAACTATTTTCAGGAGTGGCATAGATAAAAAGAGAAAGAAAACCACACCTGCTTTATATTTAGTTAGATTTTATATCAAGTTTACCTTTTCATATCCACATCTGCAACCTATGGTTACATTTTCAACTTTCAAAATGCTTCGTTAAGCATGTTTGTGGTTTTTATTATAATAAATAATACATTGTTTTCAAATCGGATTTTTTTTTTTTTTTGTGTGTGTTTTTGAGCCCAAATGTTAACATAGTAGGTTAAAGTGAAAAAATAATAGTCAGATCATATAGGTGATGTTGTGTTGAAAAAAAGATACCAAGCATGGGAACAGTAAATATGTTTCTATGTGGTATATAAAGACAAAACTAAAGTATGCAAAAAGAGGCCAAGACCTGTAAGGGTTAAAACCTTTTATCTTTATTTTATTTAAGAATTAGTTAAAGATGTTCCAGATCATTGAGAGTAAATAAAATTCCCCCGTCTTTTCACAGTTTGTGATGGAACTTACATTTTCCGAGGCAGCAAAAGGAGCCAATAAGGAGCTGACTGTGAACGTTGAAGACAACTGTCCAAGGTGTCACGGGAAGGGCAGCGAGCCGGGAACCAAGGTGTCTCAGTGTCACTACTGCAACGGCTCAGGCGTGGTGAGTCTCAGACTTGCACTTGACAGCAGGGTAGTTATCAGAGCTCATTAACTTGTGGAGCCATCATTAAGCTCTTGAGATCCTCCTTCAGTTAGATCTTCTGTGTCAGGACCTTTCCACACTCCTCTACTGTGCTACTAGTCAACATGTTATTGCCTGTGTCGCCCCCTGTAGGAGTCGATCAGCACGGGTCCTTTCATGATGCGCACCACGTGTCGGCGCTGTGGTGGGACAGGATTGATCATAACCACGCCCTGCGCTCTGTGCAAAGGTTCAGGCCAGACCAAGAAGAGGCAGACGGTCACTGTACCTGTACCTGCTGGTGGGTTTGCATCCTGGAATCTCACAAGTCAAAGATGGAAACAAATTCACAAATCTCTTTTACTGCACAAGTTAACTCCAATGTTTGGTGCAACTACTGCTCAAATGAATAGTCCTTGGGGATTCTCTGCATATCTCATCTTGTTGCTAAGTGGTAGATGTATGACAACGTGTTTAAAGGTGTTAAATAATGACGTATATTTTGGGATGTTTTCTCACAGGAGTGGAAAATGGTCAGACTGTACGCATGGCAGTAGGGTCAAAAGAAATCCTCATTACATTCAGGGTGAGTATTCTTTTGATAATTAAGGAGTTACTGAATTCTAGCAATGTAATGGAGTAGCTGTGAGGTTTAATGTTCAATGTTTGAAATGTGCAGGTCCAAAGGAGCCCAGTGTTCAGACGTAATGGAGCAGACATCCACTCTGATGTGTTCATCTCCGTAGCCCAGGCCATCCTGGGAGGCACAGCCACAGGACAGGGCCTCCATGAAACCATCAGCATGGTGGTAAGTATGTGGAGGGGTTGGACCTTATTGACAATTGTATCAAAAATATTGGTATTATCTGTCTTCCTTAACAAAACGGTAAACACATGTCCAATTTTGCTGGTGAATGAAGATCAGTTCCTGTTTTGTACAATGTATTGTAATGTAGAAACTGTCAGATACATTTCCTCCCACAAAGTCTGAGTAGAAATAAAATCACTTTTCTTTTTTTGTGTTTTCAGATTCCCTCCAGCTGCCAGCCTGATCAGGTGATCCGACTTCAGGGCAAAGGCATTCGGAGGATGAACAGTTTCGGCTACGGAGATCATTATGTTCACATCAAGATCAGGGTGCCAAAGTAAGAGAGAGAGACACACACACACACACACACACACACACACAGAAGTCACTGTCATCTAACACAGCTGTTAGTATGTTGTGATGCTGATCTGTATTATTATTTTTTTGATTTGTTTTTTTTGTGTGTTGGTGTGGTTTAGACCTCCAAAACCCCAGTGGTGTTTTTTTTTTTTTGCTGTAGATCATCAAATTTCCATGCACAAAAAAATGTTGTTTTTTTTTTTATATATATATAAGTTGCCAAGAAACATATTTGAAATAATCTGTCATGTAGAATTTCTTTGATGTAACATAATAGCACAACTATAAAAAAAAAAACCTTAGATTTGTCTTTAAGTACTATACTTCACACGATATGATATATTTTTACACAACAATTGACATCTTGAGGCATGGATAGGCAAATACTACCTGTTCTATCTAACTACAGAGGATGTATGCGTTTGTTCTTCACTTTTTACAACAACCGTTCATCAGATGTACTTCACACTTGGTCATTAGTGTATTGCTGGGTACCCAAGGAAGAACAGTTTCAAGTATGAAGTTGTTTGTATGAACAGTCCTGGTATTTTGGCTACAAGTTGTTTTCTGTTGCACCTTTTCAAGTTTTCAATGCAATTCTTAGCAGACATTATAAGGAGGTTTTCACAACAGCTCTCTGACTGCAGCTCAACTCAAACTATACACAGTCTTATCACTACCCTGTGTGATGTTCCTTTGGACACTATCTTTTATACCTATCAGAGTGTCTATTTTTTCACCACTTATGTCAAAGCAAGCAGCTTATAAAAGTCTTGTTTCCATCAGATTATTTAGTCATGGCTGGCTTGGTTGACATTAGTTCTGCTCATCAGGATCAAGATCTTTGTTTGTTAGTAGTGACGCACACACAGTACCTGGTTCAATGAGTGTATCCTTATAGCTGTCCTCTTAACAGTAACGTCATGAATGTATGTGTGTTACTTCAATGTCACTGAAGCTGTTTTTCTTTCTATACAGGGACACTCAGACAACAGAGCAAATTGCGTAAAATAATGTTAAATATTAGTCTATGCATATAGTGTCAGTCTAGATGATGGCATGTCTGTTTGCAGGTGAATTATTGCAGACAAATGCTGGCAAACTGAATGAACTGTATTTGCTGGCACACCCATTTTCCGCCGTGATGTATGTCACTCCTTACTGCTGCAAGCCATAGTCGGCCTGCTATGAACAGACATGTTTTGAACAGGCTCTGCACTAGTTTAGTCAATTTTATGACATTATTGCTAATAATTACATGGTTCAGTTTATATGCCACTAATTGTTTTCTCTTTTCCCTGCAGGAAGTTAACTCCAAGGCAGCGCTTTCTGCTGCAGAGCTATGCAGAGGAGGAGACGGATGTTCAGGGGACCGTCAACGGTGTCGATCCTTCAGCAGGTCAGGACCACACTTCAGCTGCGCCATTCAGTCAGAACATCACTCCACATATCCTCTCTTCACATTTCTCTGTTTGCACATCCTACATTCCTTTCTTAGACTCCTCTCCTAGCATTTTAGTCTTTCCCATCATTTCCCATAATGATGCATCCTAGCGTCAGAGCTGCCATTTTAAAGCACAATCAGTTAAATATGACATTTGTCACGGCTACACCATATGTTCATTGTTTCGTTACAACCTGCTGCTGGATTTTATGTCTGCCAGACGAGCATGACGGTGTTCATGACATCTTACAGCTTGTTTTTACAAAGAATTCAATTCACAACATGGCTTAATGTAACAAGAATGTACAAATGTCATATACAGTCGTGGCTCGATTATCCGACCCTTAACAATCCGAAAACCTTGCTGTCCGACAGGTTTTTAGGAAAAACTAACAGAGCCCATGAAAAAAAGCCTTAACATACCGACAGCCTTGGATTGTGACTCCGACATGACATTTTATGTCACCAATCAGGATAACGGCGTATTATCTGACTGAACAATCCCACAGATTGGCTACGTTCAGACTGCAGGACTTAATGCTCAATTCAGATTTCTTTGTGAAATCTGATTGTTTTTGTGAGTTCGTTCACATTTCCAATTAAATGCCACTTGTATGTGATCTGCTGTGTGAACTTCATATGACCCAAAAGTGTCCCGCATGCGCAGAAGAGGACACGACGACGTCACACGCAGTGAGCGTGCTCAGTGTTTGCAGAAGTAAACATGGATGGTAACGGTGGACCGTATCTGCCACTCCCTCGACCGCGCCGAATATTCGGATATTCATTATTAATAGGGCCTAAATATCCAGAGACCAGAAAGTGCTATTCGGACCAGCCCTACTATTTATTATAACATCTATGAACAACAATTAACAACAAATGATCCTTCAAGCATCAAGCCCTCCTTGTATCTCGACCTCCGTCTTGACAATCCGACAGCCTTGCTATCCGACGTAAAAGATGTTTTACATTTAGTGTCAGATTATCGAGTCACGACTATATTTATTTAAGTATAGAAGAAGCCTGACACACACAAAGAATACTATACAAAAAAAGTGACAGCATATTATGATTCAGGGATATCTGTTATCTACACATAGTCATTAGTCCTGCTCCTGACATGGTTTGTCTACTCTACCTGTGTGTCATGCCTCTTTCATACCATCCGCTCTCGCTCATAGCTCCTCCAACAACCCTCCTCGCTCCTCAGGATTCATTTTAGGAATTGAGACATCCTTTCAGACGGCATAGTAAAAGTGACTTCCAGGTGATAGGCAGGAGGACAGAGGAGACAAGGAGGCTCAAAACAGAAAAATAAGTGCTCATAGAGTCAGATAGTCAGTTCCCCTGTACTCACTGAATGAAGTGCATGTTTTCATCCAGGAGGGGGCAGCAGGACTTCAAGCTCTGGTGCAAAGTCGACCAGCTCAGACGAGGGACAGGACAAGCAGCCGGAGCAGCAGAAGGAGGAGGAAGGCTTCCTTTCCAAACTAAAGAAAATGTTTAGCTGACACTCAGACCACAGGTCAGAGCTTTAAGCAACTCGCTCCGTCCCTGAAAGACAAATATTGATTAGAATGTAGTTTTCCTTTAATTAACATAAATGGTACACCAGGTCATCATCTGCAGGGTGGCTGTGTTTTCTTTTAACCTATGGTGTACCTTTTCAGGTAAAAATTGAACACGGCAAAGAAGAAAAGAAGTCCACTGACCGGACCTTTGTGCCGTCTCCTGCTGCTTGGGAAGTCGAGCAAGGAGGAGGAAGAGGGAGGAAGAGTGGTATTTGTGTTGACACAGTCACACGTTGTTGAAACTGCGGTTGGCAAACAGGCCACATAGACGCCAGCTCCACCCACACACACACACACACACCCCGACTCATCAGCACAGACAGGTGCTGGGCTGAGAAACTCAAGATCTGCTTGAAAAGAAAGGAGACGCCGACCGCTGCACACTGTTGTGGTACAACTGTCCTCCCTGCTTACTGTGTTTAGAAGTGCCCACTGAGGCAGCTCTGCACTCACACTGACTCTCCATCAAATTTTGACTGAGCTTTTGAAATGGCAGACAAAAATGTAAAAGTTAAGAAAGCAAAGCAAGCGATTAAACTGGAGAAAGCCATTTGATTTAGCTGTATGAAGTAAAAGATACTGACCGTTAAATAGTTTGATCTGAGAGTCTTTTTTTATGTGTCCCACAGTTTTGTAATGAGGTCCTACAAACACAAATGAAACGTCTTGGGGAAAGTTTCTGTGTAATTTGGTAATAATTATAGCAGGAAGACAGATATTTTTCATTTCATACATTTGGAATTAATACATTACAATGATTTGAGCTCCAGAGTAAGTCAGTCGTCTGCAGGTCAGCTCACCATGAGAAAACTACAGGACAACATTCACTTCAACAAATGTAGAGACTATAGTTCATTTTACAGTAAATTAGTTTTTGTATGGGTTTCAATGGCTCTATATTGACCATTTTTCCCAAGATATTTAATAGTTCTTTCAAAAGCCTTTTCAGATGGGATTATGCTGTTGCGGGCTGCAAGGTTGCCGGTCCGTGTCCCGGTGAAGACACCTGGGATCTTTCTGGAGTTTGCATGTTCTCCCGTGCAGCGTGGGTTCTCTCCGGGTTCTCCAGCTTCCTCCCACACAGTCCAAAAACATGTTGAGGTTAATTGGTGATTCTAAATTGTCTGTAGGTGTGAATGTGAGTGTGCTTGGTTGTCTGTCTCTAAGTGTAGCCCTTTGATAGACTGGTTACCTGTCCAGGGTGTCCTCTGCCTTCACCCTGAGTCAGCTGGCATAGACTCCAGCCCCCCATGACTCTAGTGAGGATTAAGTGGTGTACAGATCATGGATGGATGGATGGATTATACTGTTGCTTCATCAGTCTGTTAAAGTGACGTCCTTCTGTCATTCAGACATGGTAGCGTTTACTTGAATATTCGTCTTCATTCAGACAGATCCACCAAAGTGAGAGCGCTATGATATACGTTTGACGTTTGGCACATGTGCAAGACTGTCGCCTTGCTCTCTCTACACAGAACATCAGCATATCTTAATTTTGTGTGTCCCTGTCTGTTAATGCTGCTCCATGCAGTTCAAATTTGTGAGGTTGACTGTTATACAGAAACTTCGCTGAGCCCAAACTGGGAGCATCACTGGTGGAACGTTTACAGAGAAGTTTCCAGTGTTCTCATTCAGACGTGAAGCTGACACGTTCAGTTGCTGTCAGATTAACAGAAAGGAGAGCATGTCCGTGAGAGGATGAAGAAAAACTTTAATCAACAAATCCACAAAAGGCCACAAAATTTAAATTACTACTATTTAAAGTAAGCAAATTTTTGTTTTATTTTTTCAAATTTGCAAGTATGTTCTGAAAATCAAGATTATTAATATCTTATTTATGTCTCTGTTGCCTCAAAACTTTGCATCTATTTTGTTTATAATTGTTACCAAATTGCAGATTTCTTACTAAGAAATAATTAGAACATTATAAGTCCTGCGAAACAATGTGCTGCCTTTTTCCTTTTTTACTGTCCCTGGCTCTTAATAAATTAGGATTACACTGAATATGTTCCAGTCAGAAGGAAGGATATTCCACTGTTTAGCAATAAATGAGCAAAAGTGTAGAAATGGAAGCCTGATCTACAATATCTGCTCTTATTCTGGTTAGTTGTACCTGTGTGTGGCAGCAAAACTGTGCAAAAACTTATTTAAATAAAGTATTGAAAGTTCGTTTTTAGCCTTCATTTGAATTATTTGTTTTAGTGATTTTTAAAAAAGTTTTAATGCCTTAACAATAGATGGCGGCGTTGAGTCAGTAAAGTGAAGATTTGCCTTTGTTCAGTCCTACACCTACGCTGAGCAACTTTCTTCTGACACACTCGGCCTGCAGCTCTCCGACTGTTTGATGTGTTCAGCCGCCCACTTCATTACCGTGTGCAGCGTCCGAACAGAAGCTTTTGTGAGGGTCATCTGGAACGCTGGCTTCACATCGGGGTTTTCCAGCTGTGCTCCCATTCAAAGTGGTCAGTCCTCACAAACAGGACTTGTGGTGCCTCTCAGGGAAAATTTATGATATAATATGGAGTCAGAGAAACGTAAAGAACAGGCTTGTGGCTGTTCTGCATGGGTCCCTCTGTGATATACTTTCTGCTAAAAAGGGCCGCAGTAGATCATTGTGCTTCTCAGTGAAATACTGGTGTTAAAGGATTGCTCTTTCTGTTTAGTTTTTGCAGGAATCTTGTACAACTTTTCTCTGATAAACATCAGTCTAGACAGATTAGCTGAATTCTTTAAGCAGCTTTATCAAGCCTTTAGTACTGAGGCTGAATTAATCACACTTTCTTCTGTTGGGTGGAAAAACTGAGATGTGATCTGTAAAAATATGCAAAAACTCACATTTTTAATGAGTAAAACTGTTTTTTTGATGCATTCTTGAAGAGCTTGTCCGCATTAGTTTTGACGTAGGTTTCCTGCAGATCCTATATGAAACTATATTTAGTGTTTTTACATGAGATGTGGCTACTTGTTCATAGCAGGTTGGTCTTTGGTGCTTCAACTTGTCAGAAAAAAAGTTGAGACAAAATCTAATGTAATGTAAACACATTCATGCACATGTTTAAATTGCTTGTCAAACCCCAACAGGTTTATGAGAGAAATTGAAAAAGTTTGTACAGCATCACTCGATACAGTCTTTTTTCCCTAATTCTCTCAAAATGTCTCCACATGAATTGATTATGTTTAAATGAAAACATTTCTTCATTTGGAAATTATGGACATGCCAAACTAGAACCTGATCCAAGTGAACAGCCCTAAATTGAGCAAAGCTTTGTGTGATTACAAGCTGGTCTGCAGCATTAATCAGCAGCTAACATTACATTTCACTTTGCTCTCTACCTACCAGTCTACTTTTCTAATAACGATCTGAAAACATGCAATCAAAGTTCCAGGTCTGATGAGCTTTTACATATTTCGGTAAACATCTTGAAGCAAATTGTGGCCAAAGCTTAAATACTTAAAACCTTGGAAATATATGTAATGCAGTGACATAGTGCAGTAAGTAGTGGCACATTCTGCCTTTCTTGGATAGTTGGAAGCGAAGAGACGGAGAAAACACGAGGTGAGAGGGTGTGACGTGCCAGTCGCAGTCACATTGCTGCTCCCGGGGCTCTCCTGTGTAAAGGCGTTCTAACTTTGTTAAGATTCACAAGTACAAAGTGGAGATCAGAAGCATCTCTTTAAAAAGATGAACCTTGATAAGTAAAGCCTGACAAAAACTTAATTTACGAGGCTTGATGACATGACATCAGCGAGTAGATTTCAAGTTTCCGTAAAGCAGCCTCAGTTTCCTCCTTCCCTTTCTAGGATGCTGGATGTTGTAATTCCCTGCCTTTCCCAGTAATTATGATGCTATTAGCACGGTAAATGGCTCCTCTTCACTCATTACAGCATGTCATGATGAATGGGTTGCTATTTTCTATCTTACTCATCCTTCTGAAATCTTAGGGGGTGAAAAACCACTGGTCGCCTTTTCTCATCCTCCTCTGGTTTGGAGGAAACGTAGGGAAGCGGCAAAGGAGAGCACGGGAAGATAAGTGAGATTATTTTCTTTGTGTCTGCATGTTCCTAGAAAATTAAGGCATTACATCACTATTAGTTATGCTTTAATTCAAGTGATCTAGTTCACCTCCACCACCTCAAACAATCCATACACATTAAATCGACCTTCCGATCACTGACCGACTCGCTCTACCACCTGAGCCACAGACTAGACTAGAATAGACTGGTGACCGGCCATCACTGTGTATCTGGGCAATGCACCATCTACTGTTATTGGGCACTGTGATGATTTACACACTCCAAAGCTTTTTAGTTGTTATAATTCAGCTAAAATATGCCCAATATTAGTCACACACTATGTACTGTTAGTTATTAAGATGTTTTGGTTGATGCTGCGGTTTAATAGAACCGCTCTCTTTTTCTTTTGAACTAAATTTACTGTATGTCTTCACCTCTCTTAGATCCCTTCTTATATTTATGACTGACATGTTCAAAATTGAATACAGTTGAGAATCCTATGAGGAATCTATTTAGTTAGAAGAAGCCTTTATTTAGCTTTTTTTTTCTGTAACACAATTTTTAAAGGATTTCCACGTTTTCACTTTTGCTGTTATTTAAATGAATACTCGTTCCTCTGAGGGAACAATTAACCTCTGACCTCTCTGGGCTTTCAAAACCAAGATTTGCGCTAAGCCAAAAGCAAGTCCCTGAAAGGCTGAAAGTTAGGAGGCGCGGGGCTTTCACTCGACAACTTGGTATTCAAATCCACAGCTATATATTATGTTAAACGCTGAATGGGAACACACAGACGACAAAGAGCTTTACAACTCGATTAAGTGACAGATTTTGTCCCAGACGACTAGACTTCACCAAAGTCAATAAAAGGCAATTAAAAGTTGAACAAAACTACCAACTTAAACACACTATTTGACCTCGTCCAGCCATAAATGCCAAAAGCTATACAGACCCTCAGCTATACAAACAGATAAAAGCTCCCGTCTGCCAATCATGTGTGACTGACGTTTGGTTGCTGGGAGTAACTGGGAAAAGTAAGAAAGCATCATGGGGAGTTTTAATCAACTTTTTCCTCTAGAGTTACAGTACAAACAGCCTCACATCTTCTCACGGGGGGAAATACAAAAAGGTTAGAAGCAGAGTGTGGCGGGTAATTGGCGTTGTAGGGTGCTGCTCTTGTGCTACTGTTGCAGACTGATGGATAATTATGTTTGGAGCTCAAGAATGCTGTCCGTGCGAGTAAGAAGACAGTGACTGAACGCACAATATAGCTGGCTGTTTGTGAGGGGAAGCCTTGTCTGCATTAGAGAGCAGAAATGTATGGCAGTTTATCTCACAGCTGGTGACAGTGTGAGATTTACTACCCTCCATGCCTGGAAGCAACCCATCCTGAGCCTGGTTTACCAGGATTATTCAGTGGCGCGGCTGGTCTGTCCACTGGGAAATGGGTTTTGTTTTATGTGGAGAGCAATAAGCCTGGGATTTGTCTGCTTTGTTCCCAGTGGGTTCACTGGGTCTTGAGGAGGAGGATACTTGAGGGTTATAGATGAGTCTAAGCTGTCCTTGGAAGACAGTGAGGCAGTGGGTGAGACAAGTGAATTACCAAAAATGAGAAAAACTGCAACCAGGAATTTTTATTTAGAAGAAGATATACACAAGTCAATATAATTTAATCTCTTGCCGCGGATAACTTCCCCACCTGCACCTTTCTAATGTCAGAAACGTGCTGGTCGTCTGACAACTTTTATAACTTTGTGACA